GTTGCCTAGGGTTAAACCGTTTAAAGAGGCAACGGTTCTCCTAGGCCCATAAGCAATTAAGAACAAGGAAGTACGGTAGATAGTGAAATCTGGTCTGGAGAAAGTTGTGCACCATTAAATGTATTTTGATGTTTTTGACTTGTTAAGATCTTGTGTCATTTTTTATGAATGAGGATAAAAAATAATTTTCTCTTTCATGTTTTATTTTTCGCCACGTAAGTTGTATTGCGTCAGTAAATCCGTTGAGAAAATTAAAGCCTCCTGGCGCTTACATTTAATAATGTACAGTTTCAGAAGCGAATTTTGCTACATTCGACAGTGCGTTCGGATATTTCGATGGTGGATATTCGGTCTTGCTCGTTTGGATATTCAATTAACTTGTGGTGGCTGCTAGCCTGGTCGCGAGATTGATTGACGTCACTGCTCGGAGTTGGAATTGTGAATTGCGGAAGTCGTTTATCAGTCAGTTGGTTCCTCTTCCAGTCTTTCACCGCTGGACGTCTGCAAGTGGCCTCCGTTTGATCGATTGACTTTAACCACTAACTGACGAGCCGGCGAACGACTTGGTGGAGGTTGAGGGCAAGGGAAAAGCGAAGAAGAAACCAATATGGATTTTTTGTTTTGCACGTGCTTTGTATGAAATATCTGCTGTCGTGTCTGCTTCCGTCGTCGTTGTCCTCGCCGAATCCGCAGTCGCAATGCGATCAGCGGCCAGTCGGTATCGGTGTCCGTCTACGAGTGACTGTCGCGCGCTGCAAGACTGTCGTTGTTGGTGACCACGACCGTTACCAAAGTGGACAATGCTCGGTGCCAGCAGTAGCGAGGAGGAGGACAGCATCCACAGCTCGGATCGCGAGGAGGTAGCTGACGATTTCGGCGCCTTCCTAATCAGCCGCAATGAAAGCCTGTCCGTGCGGTCGCTCAGTCTAACCGAGTCCGACCAACTGAGCGCCTGCGATTCAAACAGGGGTGGCGGTGGTGGCAGCGCCAGCAACACCCTGCCCTTACCTGCATCCGTTTCCCGATCGTCGTCCATCAAGTCGTTTTGCGGCGGCACCAGTACGGGCGATCGGCTGAACACCGAACTCTCGACACCTGAACACAAGGTGTCCACCGATGACAAGGAAAGGTAAGAAGCAAACGAGATTCACAAAGGTAGCGACTGTCGCGTTTCTGGTTTATAATTCCTCTATCTTGCGTATTTGAACCCTGCTATCCCATTTAGTGTGGAAAAAACTTATGCATTTATGCATCCATCCATTCGTTCTTTCGTACATTCAGTCGTGTCTCTGTTCATTCGTTGATTCATCCGACTATCCTTTTAGTCGATCTTTCGTTCACATTAATATATCCATCCATTCAGTCAGTCTCTCTGTGCGTCCATTAATTAATAAATTCATTCTTTTATCTACGAGTCCATTCATTCAATTCTTTATTCGTTTTTCGCTCGGTCAGTTCATTCATTTGCTGATTCATTTATCTGTTTTGCCATCCGTTACCGTAAATTCTGTTTTGTGTATATATGAACACAGCTCACCAGATGGATTTTCAGCGATCGTAGGTCATCGCATTCTTTCCTTTCACGAGTTTTTGATTTCATGAAAAAATTCTCCCGACTGCCACATGCTCCCATGTTTTATCATGACATGTGGTGCCTAAGGCGTCGACCCTCTGCGACGTAAGTGCTAAGTTAAACGCCTTGTGGCTGCTGTAAATTCCTATTCTAAAATGCCCTATGTTCGAATGGGTTGACAGAGCATTGTAGGGAATCACAGGCCAGGGCGAAGTACGCGACGGGGTAATACCTCATACCGATTAAAGTTTATTCATACATCCATTCATATTTCCATCTGTCAGCTATTCATTCTCTCATTAATTCTCTTGTGCTCGTTCATTCATCTGTTCCCGCAGTCGTTCATATTTCCGTCTTTCTGCAACTGTAGAAATGTTCTGCCTATGACCTCCGTCTTTCCGCCATAAGAATGCATTTATACGGTACAACGGTGCGTTCATCAATAGTAAACCCTCGGATTGCATGACTGGAGACAAGGAACAAGCATAAGCGAGTTATTTGCAAGCACACGTTTCTGAAACGGTTGACACTGTCCTTCATTTTGGCCACACTGAGTAGAGGTAGATAATGCTGTTTTTAGACAGCGTTACAGTATTGAGAATAGACACTTAAGAATATGGGCCTCGCAGAGAGGTAAGAGCGAAGATTAAAGCATCAACGTAAAATGTGAGATATCAATAGTCTGGGTATTCTGTCCTTGATTTTGATATTGCGAATGACGATGACAGCAACAACAACAAGAACGAAGTTGTGATGTTGAATTTATGATATTCTATCATACGCTACTGGTACTAGTTACTTCGACGTTTGTTTTTATACGTTGTGCCGAAAGACCGTTATTACCATCAGTACCATCAATGGGACATCTGATTCAACGATTACGGCACTCTGTTTGTTAACACATGATTTTGTTCACAGAAGCTAAATAGAAATGTTTTAAATATTTCCTTAAGTTTTCGATTCTGGGACCAAAATTACGACGATGAATCTTTGAACAATTCATGGTTCGGGGCACCAAATCCAACAGATGGTAAAAGT